GCGCCTTGCAACAAATCTAAAGAACACCTTGCTAAGAGATGACATGCCATAATTACGCCCTTTTGCATCCTTCTTCCGTTCCACCAACAGACCTGGCGACACCCCATCACTCCACACGAAAGAACTGCAACGCCACGCGCGATGCGCCACGCGCGATGCGCCACACGCGATGCGCCACACGCAATACGCTCTGCTATTTCGTCACGGCTGGGGCCCCTCACCGTCTTGGAAGTGGCAAGGGTATTGATGAGTTCCTGTATGTCACGTCTTGGAGCGGTCGGTGGCCAGTCTCTCGGTGGAAGAACGTCGGGACCGACCGCTCACGTCGGTCCCCTCGTACTTCGGGTGCACCTCGTCATCGAGGATGTTGCCCTTCGACTCCGAGAGAAGCTGCAAGATACGGTCCTGGCAGACTGGGTCCAGGAGAAGCTGCCAAGAAAAAAACGAAAGGCTCACGTTCGGGCCAGATGGACGGGTCAAGTGAAGGGAGCTTTCCGCCTAGGCCCACCTGATCCAACACGCGACACCGCGACACGCGTGTTCTGGCCAAGTTCGGCTCTGCTTTAACAGGTTGTGGTGCTGTTCAGTCTCTATGCTAAAGACACAGATCCTCAACGGACTCAGGATGACTCGGGACAGACTCTCTGCATGACAGGCATGCAGGGAGTAGAGTTCAGTTTGCCAGTCCTCTATCTCCTTTAACTGAGCTTTGCTCTGGGCCTCAAGTCGAATGTGCACGCAAATATTACAGTCTGCCAAGACTTCTCTGTGCTTCAATAATCAACATACATATACGTACAAATTGTATGTACTTGTATGCGTATACAGACACATGTGATCTACAGAGGGAGAGAGAGAGAGAGAGGGAGAGAGAAAAAAAAAGAAGAAAGCTACCTCAAAACACATCAGGACTCCTCAGCTCAATGAAACGCTCAGCAGTTGCTCCATCGGTTACTTGGGCTTCCGAACACTCTCCACAATCAGATTCTGCCGCTTCCGCTCCACTTCTGGCTCCTGACATTGGTTGGAAATCAAATTGCAGGAGCTGTGTGCTTGTGAGCCAGAAAGCCAGCATTCCTTGATTGTGCAAACATGCTCCTGACAGATGCTGATGCAGTGATCAGATCTCCTATGATCCACCACTTCCCCCCAAGTCACTTCCCCAAGTCACTTGGCGTGCACCAAATCTTCACTTCGCCTATTTCGAACCCCAAAAGAAACAGAAACAAAGCACGAGAGCCAACCGCCTCTTTGGCCACGAGAATGCCCAGCATTTGGTCTTGAAGTCCATCTGGTGTGGCCATGAAGTTCAGCAAGGTCACCTCAGGGGTCGGGTCGATGCCACGGCATCGACCTTTTGGGGGTTTTTAAAGAGGGTCAATGCCAAGGGACCATAGACCCTATTGGGGCATCCCGGTATGGTCCCATCCCATAAATCAACCAAGCAATAGTGAAAGGGAATATATGGCATTTGCTTCTCATGCGTTATGTTAAGTCTTTGCAGAGACATGTAATCAGTCTTTGCCCTGCCTGCACGCAAACCTCTGGTGAATAGTGCGGATTTGGCAACTTCGTCGTGATGTAGAAACGGAAATCCTGGGAGACATCACATGACATGTCTATGCGTATGGCGCACCGCTCTCATGCAATTATCTGAGGGCACAAGGCTGAGTAAATTAACATTTGGCCTGTTGATATTTAGCTTCAATTATTGGCTGGCTGCTAGATGTGTTCTCCAGTCAAAAGCTTAAATGTTGTGTATCCTGTGGTTGAAAAGCTTATGACAATGTCAAATCTTGTGAGCTTAGAGCAGGTTCCAACATGTTCCAACCTGGACATACAACAATGCTTTTAAAAAGATTATCTATGCTATATCCCCCTACCCTATGATCACTTAAAGAAAGTAACCCCTCAGTTTTTTTGGGGAGAACAGCATTTCACTTCCAATTCAAAGCAATGCAAAGAAGCACCAGATTCGCCTTGTTGTACTCACATTGAGAGTCGCCCAGGCGAATCATCATCTGAGCGGCAGAACCAACAGTAAACAGCAGGGGTGGCAACGTGGGGAAAGATGACTGCGCATATCTTCATCGCAGTGCTGTCAGGAATTCGACCGTACAACCACACCAATATGAAGAGATAGAGTCTTGAGCAAGGGAGATGAACAAAGGCCATCCATGCATGGGATGTTTGAGCTGCTTACCCCCGTCCGCAGGCAAAGCAGTGGCAAAGCGGGCAAATCGTGCCTTTCCTTCATTTTATAGGTTGGCCCAACCACTGTGTGCTATCGAGAAAGAACAGGATCCTACTCATGGCCTGCATGCTGCATTCTGCATCTTTAAAAACCTGCCCTCACTGGCACTCTTCGACTCTGGCCTTTGATATTTATCAATCAGTACTTGACGTATCGAGGCCTTGACCACAATCATGTCCTATCAAGTCTGCTCCACTCATCACTGAGCATCCCGAACCACACTGCCAGCTTTGAAGATGGCCTGGCCAATGAAACCCAGCACCGCGCGTGAGCGCCACGCGTGCGCGGGCGAAGGCAGCCACGAAGGCCCGAGGGCCCGGTCAGGGCCTTCTGCAGAAGTGGCTCCAGGAGAGGGTCTAATTGCTCCAAGACCTCCGCCGATGCCCGGCTGAAACGTCGGAAGGAGGACATGTGGACGGTTCAATGCCGTACAGAGTAGATAGGGTATACGGTAGATGTTCTCAGGCCGACATGAAGTCGAGCACATCTGCGAATCCCTGTTCCATTCGACGTCTGCTTCGTCGTCGTTCCACGTCCGCACTTGACCTTTCGGCAGACGTGGTGCCGCCAACGGCTCTGAGAATCCCGGACATTCTCGAGCAAACATGGCTTTCCATAGGCAATCGCACCTGGCAAGCGTCTTTCAGCTCGCTCCGGAGAAGGACGCACGTTCGATACGTCTTGCCGTCCATCTGGACGAAGGATTGCTGCACGTGTCTCAAGCACTCATGCGTCTGACAAGGAAAAATAACATAACAATGCTTCCAACTAACTATCTATGCAATTTGTGTCTATCAATCCCATTAACAGTGGGTGATGATGGTTAGTAAAGGCCTTTACAGGTAATAGGACAGACCCAATATACAATGGTCATGATTTGACCATCTGTGCAGACAAACGCCTTCAAGTTCACGAGCATAGTTTTGTGTCAACCGTAGGATGCGCAGTTGCTCCCCTCTGCCTCACCCAATGACGGCTGCGTGGTGTCTATGTGTTCCAAGGCAGTCATTATTGCAGTCCGCACGTTGTTCTGCGGCAACTCGTTCAGATGTCTTCAGAAATGAATGTGCACAGGTCACTGCCAAACTCGGTCACACAGCTCTGAAAGCCCATCTCTCTCAAAACACATATATGAATTCGATAGAAACACCAAGTACCCTCTTTTCAGGAGACTCACGTTTCAAAACAAAGTTCGTCTCTCTCTTTCTGTTTCGCAACCCGCGAAACCGGCAGAAACCGGCGGGAGACTCGGGTCGGCCTGAGCAAGCCTTCCGTATCCACTGATTGGCCTCCGCACGGCCCCACCGGTGCCACCGACTTCGCAAAAGCAAACCGATGCAAAACACAAAAAGAAACAGCCGACTGATGAAAGACGGTACGGGAAGACAACCGAAAACGACCTGTCTTAATCACCTCATGCAAACACTTTCTTTCATCATAAGTTATAAGCCACACATGACTCCCTTCAGACCGCAAAACGCCGACACGTGTTCCCACCAACCATCAGCCCCAAACCGCCCCCACTGGGCACCTGTAGCTGTGGGTCGATCATCAAGGGCCATCTCCTCGACCTGTCCGTCTTGCGGACGTGGGAGGCGCCGCGTGGCCACGCGCGGAAGGGAGGCGTGGTCACGCGAGCATCGAAAGAGCGCAGCGAAGACGGAGCGAAGACGTAGGAAGAGGCCATCGGGCGCGGAGCGAAGACGGGCCTCTGGATGATGATGGCATTTTCCACCGAAACCTGCGGACGGCGCTGATCAAAAGTTCTTGGACTATAAATGAAAGCTATGAATGTGGTGCAACTGGTGCATGGGGATACAACAGGATGATACAGGATGTTGAAAATCAGACTACAATCAGTGTTCTTTTGGTCTTGGCTTGTCTTGGCAAACCACACAACACGCCTGATCATTGGGAAGCTTGTCGATGACCCACTGGCGAATTTGCACCTGGTCACGGTCAAGCGCTTCACGCTGCTTCACGGTCTAACTGGCAAACAGCTGCTCAGCTCAACCAGTTCAGGTCAGGTGTCAAGTCTAAATGTCTAAATTCAGGAGACTTGACAGGTCAGGTCTCCATCAGGTCAGGTTCAGCAATGTCTGCACTCCCGAAAACTAACATAGACCCTGACTATGGCCCCCTGGAAGAGTGTTTTCCTCTACCAACCAGTGGTTTCCAGGGTCCATGTTAGTCTTCCAGGGTGTAAGTTCATCTAACTTCTATCTAAACCCTGAAACCCACGGAAACCCACCGACACCCAACAAACGACTGCGACCTCGACTCGTCACCAGCCGTTCTCCTCTGTTAGCCGTTCTCGGCTCTCGCCTCGTCTCCCAGGACCGAGCGCAAGGAGAACTCCTGTGCTGAAGGCAATTGATTGTCCTTCATCAGCTGAACCTCAGCATGCGAACCCCGCGCCTCTCGCAGGTTCGCGCGGATGATTTGCAGAAGCCCCGACATCCAGTGAAAAGGTCCACTCACTGTCACAGGTCCACTCACTGTCACAGGATGTCCTTTAGGTTTATCTATAGTTTGGTCCAAAAAAAAGGAGAAACTGCCGCGCACCGGCCCAGACCTTTGTGGAAAGTCTTCGTGAAACCAAAACAAACCTCCGGACCCAAAACTCGCTGGGCCGCCCGGGCCCAGCTCCGTACGGTGTCCACGCGATAGCGACCGGTGAAGGTGCCCAGGTAGGCGATGATCCCGGAACCAATGAGCACCTCGCGTCGTGGTTTCGCGCGTTGGGCGCTCGTAACGCGGTGGAGAGCGATGGAGAGTGGAGAGTGGAGAGCAGGAAGGCTTCATTGGTGCGTCACAAGTGTCAGAGGCACTCCCGGTCGATGCGAAGATGAGTGGCTGGGTATGCTTATATAGTGGTCGTCACCTAAGTGAGCGTCATTGAGTTTCGTTTGTCTCTGCTGACCTGCCTGATCCATTTCTGACTCTCACCAACGCCAGGTCAGTTCTCTCATCCTCCGTGAAACCTTCGGGTGAAACGAATGCGTCTGATTCGCGGAGGAGTCGGATGGACCCGGCCATTTGGTCGGCTCGATCCGAGGATCCTGAGCACTAGGCCTCAGGAAGGCCTCACTAGGCCTTGCGCACGTTCAGACTTGGGCTATCAATCTCCTTCACCACATCTTTGCCAACTTCCATGGCACGCTTCAGGTCTTTGAGTCGGATATCTCTCTCCCATGAAGCCACGAGCTCTCTACCCTGGTAAGCTAAGCGGTCTCTCTCATCTCTACGTGCCTTGGTGGTTCTTTCCACGTTCTCTTTGTAGGAGGCAATGGCCATGTCATGGTGCTTCTTGAGCTCCAAGTTGTGAAGAATCTGATTGGTGGCCATCTGATTGTCAAGCTCCTTCCTCCAATGCTCCTTGCGCTTCCTCTCATACTCTTCCACTTCTGGAAGTGAGATGAAGGTTTCGGTGAACAAAGGGAACGAGTGTGACGATGCAGCCTCGATGAATTCTCTTCGAGATTCTGCTCGTCTGGCCTTGTTGTTTTCGATCTGTGAAAGAAGCTGGGCTTGATTCTTCTGACACAAATTCCGCTTGTGTTGCCTCTCAGTCTGTTCTTCATCCATGCCACCTTTCACTGTCTCCTGCCAGACCCTAGCCTCGGTCACAGCTTTTCGGGCATCTTTCCGGAGTGACTCGATGTAGCGTTCAAAGGCGGCGTCTTGCACTGCCTTTTGTTGCTGCTCGAGTGTAAAGCCCTCTTCTTGCACTTGCCGTCGGGAGCGGCGTTTGTGTCGTTTTGAGAGGCAGGCTTCACTCGAGGAACGAGATGGGCGTGAGGAGCTGTAGGCGGACATTTCACTGGCAGCATTCCGCACAGCGGAAGCTAAGTCATTGCTTCCTTCATGTTGCATTGCGCTGCAGCACCCCCAAACAGCACCCCCTGGGTGTCCCGTTTCAACAGGACACGCAGGATAGTGGGGGTGTGGGGAAAACAGCTCGGTGAGCCAAGATGTTGCACGAACAGAAAGTTGAATCTGTCACAGTCCCAATGTTCATAAGTTCTCGCTTTCAAAAAAATGAAAGCATCATAAAGCATCAAAATCCCTCGTTCAAATCCCAAAAATCATCCATCTGGCCTTTCAACATCTTTCAACACTGGCCCATGTTTCACGCAAAAAAAACAGCGGAGCCGCTATGGTTCAATGCGACAAAAAAGACAGAAACAAAGCGTTGAGAAGGAGAACATCATCTGGGACCGCTGCATCTCCTGTCAGATTGGTATACTGTTCTCCCAGTCGCTTGGAGGAGTCCATCCATCGCGTTTTCTCACCTGGCACATGCTGAAAAACTGGTCGACTCAAAAATGTTACCAAAAAAGAGGACTTCGATCAAACTTCGAACGAAGAAATCCAAGGACTACAAAAAACTCGAAGATGTATTCATTCTGCTCCAACATGGGGTGTGCCACACTTCAGGAACCCCCTGACAATACGTCCCATTCCACGTCCCAAACCGCCAGAGACCCGGGGGAAGTGTCGTTGGATTCACCGCCAGGCCGTCGTCACCGGGCCGTCCGGTCGCCTCCCAGGCCACTGATGAGCTTCTCCGCCCGCACCAGTCGCTTGCTGCAGTCATCCACCTCACGCGGTCGACCGCGCAGCTCGCGGAAGCCGAAGGAAGGAGCGGAGGAAGCCGTGGTCAGAGCGGTCGTAGGAGCGGAGCGGAGAGGAGGTCCAGAAGTGGAGAAGGATGCTCCAGAAGTGTTCTTTTGATGTTCTTTTTGGTTTTGGAGCGATCGAAGCAGACGCTGCCGCCAGGGAAGAGAGCCACAATTTATACATAAAGGAGCTACTTAGCTACTTTCTTCTGTCGGACGTTGAACATGTCGTGTGCTTCAGAGTGGACGTTCTAAAAACAACGATCACCTCTCGAGCTCTTTATGCAGGTCTGTGGGCATGTCATCGCTCTTTGCCAGTTTGGAGCACACGCATCGGCTGGGAGAGAGCTCTTGGTCCCCAAAATAGGTGTTTTCTTCCCAGACCGTCTGCCAACCCCCGTAACACCTCCCTTTTACGGTGGGAACTGCCCGAACACACGCCGGGTGGGAGCTGAAAACCGTTTCTGGCGACGGAAGTGACACCAAAGGCGGCGGAAGGTCCCATACGGGGCCACTGTTGCTGTGATTCTTGTGGAGGTTGTGCTGGTTGCTGGTTGCATGTTCGGATGGAAGTCCCAAGTGCAAGCTAAAGAAGAAGAGACTTGCTACTGCGAGAGATGACTTGCTCAAGAGACGTGCTCTTTCCATCGTCAGTGTCACGTTGATTCAGTGATTCAGTGTCACCGAGCGGTTTTCAGAGTCGTCCCATCGAAAAGGGAGCAGGTCGAAAAAAGCCCCAGTGCAAGACCTCCAATTATTGATGTAGACTCTTGAGTCATGAAAGAACCTCAATTGGATTTGTAGGACCTCTTCATGTATGGGTTTTTGAAATACCAAGATTCTTCATGATTCTTAAAGATCTTCTGTGCTGGTTTAGCGTAGTTGCCGGGGTTACGGGGTTAATCCGAGGCATCTGCACGGTAAAAACGGTAAAAATTGAAAAAATTACTTTCTTGCCGTTTTCCCCGGGGGCACCCCTTTTTCGTCTACCATATCTGCGGTAAAAACGATAAAAATCGAAAATGTTCTTTTTTTACCGTGTTTACCGGGGGGGCGCCCCTTTTTTTCTAGCATATCCGCGGTAAAAACGGTAAAAATCAAAAATTGTGTTTTGTTTTATCATTTTTACCACAGGGGGGGCTCCTTTTTTCTTCTACCATATCCGCGGTAAAAACGGTAAAAATCAAAAAAGAAATGTGTTTACCGTTTTTACCGGGGGGGCGCTCCTTTTTCTTTTACCATATCCGCGGTAAAAACGTCAAAAATCGATTCTTTTTTACCGTATTTACCGGGGGGCACTTCCTTTTTCAATACCATATCTGCGATCAAAACGGTAAAATTATGTGTTGTTCTTTTTGTACCGTTTTGATCGAGGGGGCAAACGGGTCTGTGTTTTTTCAGTTTTTAACGGAGGGTCACCGCTGTTTCTTCTGCCATATCCGCGGTAGGTAAAAATCGAAAGTGTTCGATCCAAGTGATGTAGGCTTTCATTGCCCTGCAAAAGTTAAAAGTCATGAAATGTTGATCAATCACCAAACTCCTCTTGTCGAAAAGGGCACACGCTCCTATATGATAGGAGGAGTGAACCCCACCTGATTACTGTATAGGAAGATACCCGGGCTGTAACATCAAACCTTTTTGTTGACAGAGGTCTTCTAGCTTGCGACCTGGTCCCGAGGCATTCTCGCGGTAAAAACGGTCCAAGTGAAAATTACTGTTTACCTTGTTTAATGAAGAGTCGCTTGCTCTTTTTGCTTCTACCATATCGCTAAAAATCAAAGTTGATCAAAGTTGTGTTATTTTCCGTTTTTGTAGGTGGACTTGTCCTTTTCTTTTCTACCATCTCCGTGGCAAAAACGGTCAAAAAAACAAAAATGATAATAATTACTGGGGGGCGCTCGATGTTTAAATTTCATATCCGCGGTAAAAACGGTAAAAATCAAAAAGTTTCGTTTTTTACCGTTTCTACCGGGGGGGCGCCCCTTTTCTCTACCATATCCGCGGTAAAAACGGTAAAAATCGATTGTTTTTTAACCGTTTTTTCCGGGGGGGCGCTCCTTTTTCTTCTACCATATCCGCGGTAAAAACGGTAAAAATCGAAAATTGACGTTTTTTACCTTTTTTCCTGCGGGGTCGCGAAAGGATACCCCTTAGCAAAACAACGCTCGCGAACCAGCTTCGAAGATCTTAGAGCCAAAGCCATGAGCTATAGCCACCCCGCACCCTGGGCAAGCTGGCCTGCACTGCCAAGTCATCCTTCTTTTTCCTTGCAGACTCAAAGTCAGCCAGGAGCTGTGCGACATTGTCCTCAAAAGAAAACAGATCGGACTGAAACGTCCAACACATGGCTGGTCAAGGACACCCCCATGTGCTTTCGGTTCACGTGGGGTCGGGGAAACTAGAACACTCACCTCGTCTGCTGCATCTTCTCAATTGGTTATTTGCTTGGATCTTCAAACTCTCTCCCGTTGTCCTGAACAGCCTTCAGCTCGGCTTTCTTCTCTGCAAGAATGCTCATGACCTGCAAACAGTGGCACAAATCCGTTGTTCAAGCTGGCAAACAATCTGCCTCTTTTGCGTGTGGCAAGTGACTGCAGCCGGTGCCTTGGCCAGCTCCTGCTCAGCCCCCGCTAGAGCCTGGCCGGGGCGCAACTCTAGCAGCTATCACATGGGTTCTCCCCAAGTGAAGTTGTTCATCCCAAGAGAAAAGAACTGGAATCAAGTCATGCATATGAGTGTGCATTGGCAACCTGACGCTGCCTGGCTAACGACTTCTGGCCTCCTTCTTCGGGCCAACGACTTTTGCCACACCGTCGTAGACGATCATGGCCCTCACCTTGAAGCAGGTGCTCTGCAGTGGGTGTGTCTCTAAGGAGGGAAACACCCAATACAAGCCTATGGTATACAGTAGGAAGTAATAGTATAGAGTCATCTCAACAATTTTCAACCTCGTGCCCGTTGTTGAGTTGAAAACAAGAGATACAAATTCGGTAGACATCCGGAACCCCGCTAGTGGATTGCTTCAATTTCTGGTAATGGTGCTCCAGGAAACCACAAAACAGGCTCTGATTTGGTGAAATACCTCCTGAAAATTCCTGAGGGCACCGGCCCACTTGCAGATTCCCATCGCTGCAGTGGATGCCTTTCGAATCACCTCGCAGGCGTACCGCGTACCGCGTACGCGCACGGCGATCACCCGGTTGGTCGATGGGTCGTGATCCGAAAGCACGACGAAGACATCAAGAATTGGCCAGGCCAGGCCAGCTGCTGGGGGTTTCTGAGCTCAACCCATTTGATGTTCCCATTCAACGTTCTTTTTCGGGTGCGCGAATGAAAAAGAAAAACAAAGAAAAACAGGACTCAGACGTCTGAGTCAGGCCTCCGGATCAAACTCAGGATCTTCCTCCAATGGCTTTAGCTTCTCGATCACTTCCACCTGCGCGGAACCGCTCCGCTCCGCTCCAGTGCGTCCCAAGAAGTCAACGACCTCGACTTCGCCTGCTGAGACGAAGACGGGACCGTCCCGCTGAGACTGCCGTTTTTTCGTTTGTTGGGTGCTTGCAGTATGTGAAACCGCAAGTCGATATCCAAACCGTTCAATGTGTCCAGCCAAGAGACCGGGATGTGGTCTTTGTCATAGCCTCAGCCACCACTACAGCACTCATCTGATCTGACACATTCCTCATCATTCCTCTGCGTCACATTCATCTGTCTCATGCTGCTTCTCTTTTTGCAGACAAAGAGATCAAGCTCCCTACCCAGTAAGCGATCCAGCATCTTTGAGTCCTCAGCTGAGCGAAAACAGCTACGTTCGGCAGCAAGATGCAGTAAGTATGCCAGGCCTGTGCGTTCATGTTCCACCCCGTTTGCCGGGGTTTTGCGTCTACAAAAGCCGAGGCCCTGACACCCCACAAGCTCTTCTTGGATGGCTCCCAATAGTCATCGATCTGCCATGATGCATTGTGGAAAACAATGTCCATACTACGTATCAGTCGCACGTCACGCCACACACGCACGTGTGGCGTATGCATTTTCTGAGAAGAATGGTCATCGCGTGCAGTTTGAGCGCTTGAGCCTTGGTCCTGCCATCCTCTGCGGTGACTTTCTTTGGTTTCACATCAAACCTCGGTCGTCGGTGGAGTCAACCTGTCAAAAAGAACTGGTTTTGGAGGTGTTCTTTTCCATGAGATTCCCTCCATCCCAGATTCCACTGGATACGGTCTCGGCAACTGGTTGGAAAACCGATGCGGGAAAGGAAAAGCATCGATATTGGTCCAAGATGCATCCAACAGAGGGCCTTGGAGACTGTAATGACTCCTTCAGGAGGGGACTTCATATTCTTCACCTGGCAATCCAGCTTCGTCGAGCAAGCTTTTGGAGAATGGGCGCCATTGCACAAGTTCAGGGTCAGTGCCACCATGTGCCACATTGTGCCACCTAGAACTATCAACGACAAACAGCTCTCCCCAACTCTCGGGTGCGCCTCCACAATGTCACCTGCAGCAACATTTGCGAGTTGAATCAGTTGAATCAGCAGCTCGAACGTCGGGGCGCTCTTGGGGATCTATTTATCGATGGATCTGGACATGGGGAACATGTAACTGCATCGCATCTAGTACATGAAATGCTGTTGTCCTGAAAACCGACGAAATGCGCTTGGCTCCATGGACTCTGAGACCCGTCTATTTTCGGATCTGGCAGATAGTTGCCGACCCCAGAAAGAACTCTTCTTCAGGCGGGTCACTCTTCTTCAAGCTCTTCAATGCATCCAGGGCGGCATTTAGAGCTGGCAATGCCTCAGAAGCAAACAAAGCTGTTTAAGATTCCAGCACCACATGTGCCGAATAGATGCCAATGAGCTTGAAATGCTGTGATGTTGCAAGGTCTTGTCCATAAAATCTCTGTGGTATCATCAATTCAGTGAATCGCAGAACCAGTCTCGCTCCCACCTTGTCCAAATCCGCCTGGCACTCCTCTTTCATGGTGCGAGCTGCCTCTGCCTTCCAGTTCCAAGCATCACAACACACAAAAGGAGTCGAACGTCGAACGCGCGAAAGCTCAACTCAAGTGACGAAGATGTCTGACCAGTGGCGCGTGGCCTCGCTACACTCCCTGAAATCCTCATCTTCTCAGTGGAAAGCCAGCTATCATCCTTTCGGAGCCATGCCATTCACTTCCATTTTCATTGTTCTTTCGCGTGTGTAGCGAACAGCCGCTTACAGCCGCGTCCCATCGAACTTCGTGGGTTTGGTCCGAGAACTCGCGATCCCGGGTCGCCTGCTGCGAGGCGGCTTCCTCCTCCTTGGCCACCATGGCTTGCGTCGCTGAGGCCTTGAAACGGGCCATGTGAAGAACCAAACGGACTGGCCATGCAAAAAAGGAGGTGACATTAACATACTGTTCTTTCTTTCTGCTTTTCTTAGCATGTTGGACTCATGTTCACCCTGCTCCTCCAAGCTTCTGTCGGTTTGGAAGGGCCGTTGGTCAACCTGCCTCCTCCTGTTTGTGCTCTATGACCGTCATCAACTCAGCCGTCTCCGCAGAAGTCTGCTTCAAGACCTGAATCAAAATCATGTCCAAAAACTCTTCCCAAATTTTTTTCACGTCATCGTCGAGCTCTACCATCACGGGCACGCACGAGCTTTACAAGGAATGACATCACACGTTGAAGGACAAGATTCAGCTGCAAGACAAATGAGTGTGTCTGAAAACTTTGATAGATTCCTTTGTGATCACTCATGGCTGAAATGCGAAAGCTTATTCTTCAAAGGGGCTTACGCAAAGGGGCTTACGCAAACTTTCTGAATGGCTTTGGAATGGCTTTCGTCTCTCGAATTTGAAAGGTAGAAGAAGAATCTGGTCTAGGGCACCAGACAGGCCGCAACTCTTCAAGTTGAATGGACATGGTTTTGACCTGTGAACATCGCCACTCTTCCCAACTCTTCCAGATCGCCACGCTTCCCATCGAACATCGAATAATTTAAGCCATATATGGATCTGCTTAAGAAATGAACATATGGCACTTTTCAAGCCAACGCACGAACAATTCCAACACCCCTCAAAATAAGTACAACACATAGACAGTAATCACCACTCTAAGATAAAAGGAAGAAAATACGCGAAAAAACCTCACAAACGCGGCCTGTTCCTCCGTGGAGATCACCTTCTCCAGCCCGTCGTCGTAGCGCCGCTTGGCCGAAGACACCTCGTCCCGCTTCGAAGCCAAGACCTCGGGGTGCCGTCGGCGGTCGGCGCGGCGTCCGGGAGCAGAGGCGTGTGGCGCCGGTGTCGTTTCTTCGGTCCGGACGTCCTTGAAGGAGTTGATGAGCTCCAAATAGGAGGTGGGAGTGACCTTGGAGAGGATGGAAGGTTGGTGTGAGAAGTGGGTTAGAAGTTCAGGATAGACCTTGGATGTGGGTCGCTGAATGGATTCTCACCTAATTCAGATTCAGGAACCGGGAAAAGAAAAGAGCAAAAAGGAAACACCAAGCGCGGGACATAGTAGTGGCGTTGAACCTTGGAAGCAAGTTCAAGGCCAGTCGTACCCATGGTTCATCATGTGTTCGTCCTTGAAGAGAATACAACATCCTTTACAAAAATCTCTCCTCGAGTTTGGCCTTCTTAGGATTGTTTTCCGACTTTCCAATAGGGGTGCGAACATCAAACAATCATATAAGGCCTGATTCATGATCACAGACTTTTCATGTCTGGAGTTGCACATCTGACCGATCGCGTCCCCCTCTCGTCCCTGACCTCTCTGCGGAAGCGATCGGTCAACCCGAAGACGGACTCTTGCATTTGCACGCAGATCCTCGGTGACGCCCCAGAACGCGGCGGAATGCGGCACTCAAAAGCGAAAACCATCCGTCCACGGGGCGCGTGCGTCGGTGCAAACATACGAAACATGAGATCCCATGGATGACTCTGAAGTTCTTCCGAACTTCCCCCAAAGAGATCGATACTGCGGTTCCCCCCCCAACCCCTCCAGCTCGTTCTGGGTTCTTGGAACATCCAAGCCGCCCAGTCGAACGAGTCAAAAACAAACCCCTCTTCACAGACTCTATGGACTCCTTAGAGCAGGTCTTTTGCCAAAGGTGCTGAGTCACAAGACACTATATAGTCACTATGCACAATGCACAGCCAGAAAGCAAAGAAGGACTCTGGTCTTTCACTGGGTTTGTATTGTTTGACGTTCCCGGGCCGGGATGTTTGACTATGGGGTATGCTTCGCGCTGTGTGAAGATTAAAGTAGTAGCGTATGCTTCGAGATATTCTTCGCCTAAGTCGAACATCCCAGCCCGAGATAAACTGGACACGTTAAAAGAAGACAACCCCCAGTGTTGGAGTTGACGCTGTCTTCCGTGGAAGCACTGGGGATCCTTGCTCCACCACTCCAGAGAACACATCTTCAGACAGGTCGACCTGCAACCAGAGGGGCAGGTCAGAACCTGCTGCTGCTTGTTATTCTGCATAGTGAGGTCTGACTTTCCAGTGGTTTTGGGTCCTCAGAGAAACTCTCCGTGTTGAGGTCCGGATTGAAAGTCGCCTTCTGCAGGAAGTGCGTCGCGACGCTCCTCAAGGCTTCTTGTGGCCACTCCATGAACCAGTCCTCGGACCAAAAAAAGACATGAACAGGTTTTAAAAAAAGCTACTAGGAACAAGTGCATCGCTACTAGTAACAAGTGCCTTACTAGTAGTAACAAGAAGCGAATGTAGAAACAAGAATTAGAATTAAGTTTGGCTTCGCGTGGTCACTTCACCACTTGACCGCTCCCGAGGGCCCCGCGATGGTGCAGCAGTTCACAATGGCTGGAAACATGCGAACACGACGCCTGAAGGCCTCCCGTTGTCACCACATCTTGACCCATCACTGACACAGCTGAAGTCAAACGCGCCTCCCCAATGGGGGACAGTGCCAGAATCAAATGAAGATTCTTGCCTCAAAAGGAAAAGAGGTCTGCTGCTTTTTGGGCTTGTTTGTAGCTTCAAGAGCCTGACCATTCTCGAGACTCTGAAGAACTACGAGGGTCTTTCTCTCAATAAAACCATGGGTCCTCCCCGCTTCTCAATCACTCTCAGGTTGTTGCGACATTGCTCGGTGAAGAACGCCAAGGTCTGCAGGACAACGCAGACATCGGACATCGGATCGGTGGCTCCGCTCAGTCCGACAGGTCCAGGTCCATCCGTCCCGTCCCTTCCATCGCGGGGGATCCCATGAGCGAGCATGCGAATGCCGAACCGAGCGAACGAGCCCATCGGCTGATCGACTTTTGTTGAGGTGACGAATTCGTGAGTGATGAAGACTTGGGACTTGGGAAGTGGCAAGAACTTCCCCAAACTCAATGGGCCCCACAGCTATGGCTGGCGATCACCTTGGTCCAGTGGGACCTTTCCAGGATTCAGCTTTCTAAACTGAATGGAGGACGTCACAAGCATAAACCGATGTGACTGGTCCTCAAAAAGAACAAGAACGATTCCAAAATGGGTCTGGAAGGGATTGAATCTCTTCACTGTTCCATCGATTTTTTGAGGTTACTTTGCTGTAAGTGCTGTTCCAAGTGTTCCAAGCATCCACTTAATTCCTCCAAAGTTGACTTGACACCTCCGCGACCACCGCACATGGGGCCTCTGCTGGACCATTGCAGCCAGCTGCTTGGGCTGCAGCACCACAGCCCTGGGCACTCCAAGGCTCGAAAAAATCAGGCAGTGACCTACAGTTTTGTGGCAGAAATCTGGAGAAGACCAGCATGAATTCTCTCAAAATTCAGGCGTCAATCATAGGGCATAGGGTATTCAACCCAAAAATTGGAACCTCATTCCTGCGACTCTTGATCTTTAGAGACAAACCTGTTGCTTCGGAGAGCTAGCTAGAAGTTCTTGGAGTACACCCACATGCATGAACCTTAAGAAACTGCTAAAGGCTTGAATCTTGGCGCCTCCATAATGGCTGTCTTGTCTTCAGCATTGAAGAGGTTTGGGACCTCACACTAAAGGCCAGAAACACAGGCCTTTATTGCAAATTCCAAGACAGGCTGTAGAAATAGAACATGCCGTCACTGTCTAAGTCTCACTTCGGTATCAACATGCAAAATATCGGATTGAATGTTCAAATAGCCCATAGCATGTCATAGCATGTGTGAAAACATACACTTCATTCAACACCTTCTGCGCCACGTGTGCGTGTATGGCAGCCAGATCCCTTTTTCCTGGCTCAATTTGCGCGCTGCTTCTGGCCACTGAAGAGCCCACTTCGTGTGTCATCCAGGCCATCTCGATCATGGACATACTCCAGGCGCTTGTCACAGGTTCGTTCGAATTCCTCGACTTCCTCGACCATGTTCGTCCAAAGACGAAAAGAAGTGAACATTGATGAGACATATTCAAGAATGCAAATATTCACGATACACTACCGGAAAAAAAATATGTAATATCCATCAATAGTGGATTCATTCTTTAACAAACTTTGTGTTTGAGTTTCACTATACCTATGCCCTTTTTGTTAGGGAGTTTGTCCACTCAGTTTTCTCAGAACTGTCTTCGTTTCAGTTCGCTTCAGTTCGCTCTCTGTCTTCGCCGGTCCTTGATACATCTGGAGATGTCTCCAGAATTTTCTTCAATGCAGAGTCGCAGGGGTCTCATCGTACACACGATGTGGCTCTTCTTCAGCTTCGGCTGATTCGCCGACATCATCCCACCACCGGACCCACTGGCCATCGACATGGCGAGAGAGCGATTCGAGCTTCGTTCGACGGGAAGCGCTTGCTCCCGCGAGAAGCTAAAGACACGACACCGGAAGCTTTACACCTCTTTTCTTAGGGGCGAGCGTAAACGCGTCGCTGGCGCCCCACTGAGCCTCCACAGCTTGGCAGAGTCGCATGTGTTTTATTACCAGTTCAGTCTGCGTTTCTGGCCACCATTCATGCATCTGGGACCAAATGAGGGACAGGAAATCTTGCTCATGATTCTTACTGTTCTCACAACCTGCACCACTAACAATCCGGGTGAACCCGGGTCCAGGTGGTTTAGGGTGCCAGATTCTGGCTGAACCTCAGGATCTTCCATGATCACCCAGGATTTTCCATGATCTTCTGTTGGGGTTCCTGAGATAAACCAAGCTTGTAGATCAGACCTTTGGCGAGGGCGAGGCTCTTTGTGAACGACTATGATGTCCCTGTTCCAACAACCCATGCATCGCACCACGCAGCCAACGGGTGAGAGATCAAAAAAAGAATTAACGCATCAAAAAAAATATTCCACACGCATCAAAAAAATTAACGCATCAAAAATAATATTCCAAATAGCAGTAGCAGTAAGAGTAGCAACCGGACTATACTAGCAGCAGTATCGTAGTGGTAGTCGTAGTGTTTCGTGGCAGGTGCAGTACTTGGTGGACCTTGCAATGCACATTTCGTGGCAGGTGCAGGACTTTGTGGATGTTGAAGTGCAGAGTTGGTGGCCAGTGGTAGGCGCAGGACTTTAAGGGCCTTGGAGTGCAGATTTCGTGGCAGGTGCAGGACTGTGTGGATGTGGAAGTGCAGAGGTGGTGGCAGGTGCAGGACTTTGACGGCCTTGGAGTGCAGATTTCGTGGCAGGCGCAGGAGTTTCTGATGTGGAAGTGTAGAGTTGGTGGCAGGCGCAAGACTTTGTGGACCTTGAAGTGCAGATTTCGTGGCAGGTGTAGTACTTTGTGGATGTTGAACTGCAGATAGACAGATAGAAAGATAGAAAGATAAATGGATCGATAGATACATAGATAGATAGGTAGATAGAGAGACAAAGGAGGCACATTTGCTTGGTTAGAAAAATTTTGCGCCGGGGAGTTCACCTTAAAATATTGATTTCGTGGCAGGCGCGGGTGTCGGGGATGAAGTGCAGATTTCGTGGCGCGGGGGGGGTTGGGGGGGGG